TTTCAGCAAGTGCTGCCAGAGCTGGGCACCAGCAGCCCCAGGCACCCCCAGCCCTCCCCGGCCGAGGCTGGTACAGTTCGTTACGTCCAGACCGGAATGTACTTTGTGTTAGAAGTGGCCACGAGCCAGGAAGGCAAAGCCGGACTTTATTTATCCTCCCTGCTCCGGCCCCGCTGCTGCATCCTGCCCTTGCTGCTCGTGTGGGGCTGGATCTCCGGCAGGGCTGGGGGAGCCCTGAGCTCTGTCTGCCTCTCTGCAGCTCATTGACAGACGGGGAAGGCAGCGATTTCCCCCTTTTCCTCAGAAGGGAGATAATCTGGGGAAATATTTGTGTCCTTTCATCTGGTAAAATCTGTGCTGGTGTCTGGAAGGAAGCGCGGTGAGGGAGATGGGAGCTCAGGGAAGGATCTGGGATCAGGGAAGGATCTGGGATCAGGGATGGATCCAGGGTCAGGGAAGCCTCTGGAGGGAGGTGCCCTTGTCTGCTGGCCTGGGGGTTTTGCAACAAGGGGCAGGATTTGGGCCACAATCTGCTAATTTATGGGTTGGAAATGCACCTGAAAAGATCCAGCTGGGTCAGGCCTCTGACAGAGCAGGGACTTCTCTGGGGGTCCCCACGTGTGAGGGGGATGTGTTGGCCCCTCAGCTGTTAAAAAGTCATATTGAGAGCCGTGAATCCAACCAGAGAGGGAGAGGCTCGGGAGGGATGGAGGGGATGGGTCTGGCCGATCTTTCCACAGCCAGCATCCCCTGTCTGGCCTTTCCTCAGGAACATCTGAGGGGAATGAGGGGAGTGTCCCATTTCATACAGAAAGCGGCTCTCAGCTGCTCTGCATCCCCCAGCTCCACAGCCCTCATGCCAAGGAGGTGCTCTTGCCCTGCTGCCCCTTGTCCCCGTGTCCCCGTGTCCGTCCGTCCCTGCCGGGAGCTGCACCTACAGCCGGTGGCAAGGACACGCTGTTCTGCAGCTCTGCCGTTCTGCTGTTGTGCTGCTCTGCTGTTCTCTGCCGCCTGTTGTGCAAGCCC